GGGCAAGGCTTAGGGCAAGTAAGACCCAGGCAGTGGTCTTGGTTTTGGGCTACAGTTTTTCTGCTTTGCCCATGAGCCTCAGCTCCACACCCTCCCGGGCTCAGCACCCTTTCCCCAGGGTCCCGAACTTTCTGCCAAGGTCCCGATTTCTCTCAAAGCTGGAGGGTGCAAACCAAAGGTGGCAGAGCTGTGCCCAGGGCTGCTGACCCGTGCGCTAAGCTCTTCCCCAGCAGCCGTGACCGGGGGTACCGGGGTGCTGCAGGAGCGGGGAGCACAGGAGATAACCACTGATGTTGTCAGTGCTGCTGGGACTTAACGTATTGTGAGATATGGCAGCTTGTTTGCACGGGTGTTAACCAGCCTCTCCTGTCCCCTTCTTGTCACTGCCCAGTCCCTGCCACAGCCAATCTGTGTCCTAATCTCCATCAATTAACAAGAAACACTTTCGCCCCCTCGCTCCCCTCCACCAACACAGACACCCACCCTGAAGCCTGGGATAAAGAGGAAAGAGCCCCCCCAGCCTCGACCCTCTCCCCCTTTACTTTCCACTAACTCAGCGCAACCAATTAGGCATCTGACACCCGTACTGGCTGACAAATTGTTTCTGTCATCTGCTTTCTGTCTTTCATTAAACGAGAGGCGGAGGGGGGAATTGAGAAGGGAGGGGGGGGGCTGGGAGATGTGATCTCCCATGCTTAGCGAGGCCAGATACATTAATTACAAAACGGCCATTTGCAGCATGAAAATGCATTAATTAAATTTATGCAATCATTATCTTTAAATAGTCATATCTTTAAAATAATCAGCCCTTCCTGAGTCTTCCCTCTCCTCCGCTAAGTATCTCTAATCCCTTTTCCACCATTTATCTCTGGATCAGCAGTGGCTTGTATGCTTTTAAACTTCTGCATGCAGGAGATGCCTTAAAAACCCTGCTCAAGTAATACAAGGGTGTGATGCCTTCACTCTTGCCCTTGGCCTTGCAGCAATGAGGACAGATGAGGGGCACAACTCTACTCAGCAAGTTAGAGGATTTGCCATTTTTCGGAGGCTTCTGATCAAGATGTTTTTTATAAAAGAGAGCTTGTATCTCAGTCAGGAGTTGTGAGGTTAATGCATAAAGTTCCTTGCTTGCATTTGGAAGGAGAGCAAGCTGTGTGCTGGTTTACATCCCCACTTAGTGAAAGTATCATTGTTTTCATTTGGAAGAGGTTTAATTTTAATGAGGTAAGACCCTTCCCTTTGGCACAGACATAGTTTTGCCAGCAGACAGCTACCTGTCATCAGTGCATCTTTTTTTTTTTTTTTTTTTAAATCACTTAGTTCAAGGCGGTAAATGATGTTCACAAGAAAAGCAAGGTTTTAAAAATAGGCATTTCACTACTTTGATGTTCGAGATCGCTTCTTGGTGGCTTTTTATTATAATTCTAAAAAATATTTCATTTTGGAGTACCTTCACACATAGCCAAAATTGAATTGCACTAGACAAATGAGAAGCGTGGTTAATGATGTGTGAGCCCAGGAACTTCTACTTTTATGCTTTATTGTTCAAAACCTTCACCTGTTTGTGATAGCTACTCAAATAATCATTGCAAACTTATCGAGGTTTGTGCTGCTCCTCTGCAGACCCCAGGTGCAAGAGTGCCAAAATACCCAGGGAAGAATTAATCTCATCCCCTGCTTAAGTAAGCACCTATAACACCACAGGAAAACTCCAGTCCAAATAGCTTTTACAGAGCTGGAGGACTCAAAGAGGGATACTTATCTAAACTCAAATCCTTTAGGGCTTTCTTATCACTTCTGGTTAAAGATTTTGTTCTGCTCTTTGTGTGTCTGCATCGTTTTTAATAAATCCTACATGTTTTTTTCCCCCTATCTGTAATGCCTAGTGGGCCAATGTCCAATTAGATGAGAGCCGACGCAGTGGTATTTGGATCCAAACTTCATGTTGTGTTCAGCTAGAGTCATGAGTTTGGGATTAAGACCAGGTAGAATTTGAGGGCAGTTTTGATGGTGTCTGAATCCTGCCAGATTTCTCACATCTGAGGGACAGAATTGAGCTCTGGGGTTTCAGAAATGGAAGCTCATGGTAGCTTGGCCTGCACAGGAAAGCCCAAGTGTCCCCAGCCTCTTCTTCAAGAAGTACATTATGAAACTATTATAAAAGTTGTTTGGATCCAGCACAGCATGAGTGTAAAGGTGATTACAAGTAATGAATGCAAAGGGCTTGTTTTTCCCTGAATCATCTCTGAGAATGGACGTTTATACGGAGCAAAATGGGGAATGAGGTTGTTGAATGAGAACATTGTAGCTGTAAGGGTAATCCTCTCAAAGCCAGTGTTTTCATCAAGGATCCCCACTTTTCTTTTTCCTTTTTTTCCTCTTTTTCCTCTTTTTCCTCTTTTTCCTCTTTTTCCTCTTTTTCCTCTTTTTCCTCTTTCCCCTTCTCTTTTTTTCCTATTTGTTTACACTAATGCCTCCACACCACTGGACTCCACACCTTGGTGGATGCAGCTCCATTGTCCCTGAGTTCAGATCCTGTGTGGGGTTTGGGGTTCATGTTTGGCAAAAGCAGGCAGCTCCCTGTCTTTGAAAACACCACAGTGCTCCCTAGCAGCAGGGAGGAATTGGAAGGAAGAGCACGTGGCACTATATAGTGCTGCAAAAGGCATTTCCTTGGATTTCAGGAGCTGTGATTTTCCTGCGGGGGAAGGAAAAAGAGGTCCTGACTTTAAAAATTCATTCTTGTGGTAGCCTCAGAAGGTCCAAACTGAGCTGAGGCACTCGCAGACGGGACCAGGGTCTTGGTTGTTCATTCACTAGGGTGAGCTAAAAGGAGAAATCCTCATCTTAAAAATTCCACCAAGCCCTCCCCGGGAAAGCAGGGAGCTGAGAGAGCAAGGAAACAAGCAGCAGAGGTGCTGACAATAGGAAGAGCTTCTGATTTTCTCTTTCTTCCATTCTTCTGCCAGCTCGAGTTATTAAGTGTTTGGTGCGAGCCTAGCTAGCCCTGCACTTGCTGAACTTATCAGGGTTATTTCATCTCCCCATGACCTCTCCGTATTTACGATGGGAACCCTGGAGGCATTGGCTTTGCTTAACTGGTGTATCTTACACTGCAGTTAAGCTGGACCTTAACTGATTACAGCCCTTGATTGATCAGAGAAAGAGGGAGGGGAAGAGAAAGAGGAGTCCTAGAGCAGATACGCAGGACTATCAGTGCACCAAGCAGCTTCGCCTGGGGCTGGGATATGCCACTCGGGGGATTCTTTGTAGTGCAGCTCCTTTCACATTTATAGAGGCTCCCCTCCACTCTCCAAAAAGAGAGAGACAGAGAGAGAAAAGCAGGCAAGGGGGGGCATGGAGCAGACTCAAAGGATCTCAGAAAATCTTGTTTCGAAGCAGTAAGTCAGCACCCGCACTCCATTACCAGTGTCCGCGGGGGGTGTGATAGTGAGCGAGCACACATCAGCTTAGCTGAGAAATGGAAAAAAAGAAAAAATAAAATGAGGGAGAGAAATGGAAAGGGAGGAGGGGAAGAGGAGACCTTTCTGTGAATTTTGTTTTGTCTTTATTAGTCTGCCGGCGTGGGGCTGCTGAAGAAAGGAAAACCAGAAGTTTATAAACCAGCTTTAATTTGCTGGGATGTAGCTTGTGCTGCATGATCACCCCACCCTGCCATGGTCCACATCGGGCAAATGCACAGCAATAGATTTAGGGCTGATTTAGCAGGAAACCTTGATGTGTGTTTGTGTGTTTCTTGGTATTTTGAATCTCTCACCAAGCCCCAAAAGCTTTTCATTCCCTGCCTCCCATCAGCATGTCTGAGCTTACCCAAGAACGAACAAATAGGTGCTGAAGAAAAGGCACGAGCCCAGCCCATTCCAAAGCCAAACCTAACCTGAGTGCTTCTGCCACTGTGGAGATGTTTAGGAATTCCACTTTCCCATGGTTGTGCCTTTCTGCTTTCTCATCCCAGGTGACTCTGTGAGTTCCAAAATGCCACAAGCAAGGTTCAGGTTTCTACAATTAATAACCTGTATAAAGTTGCCCAGAGATGCTCTGTATCTCAACAAAGGGATTTTCTCATGGAGACTTCCCTTTCCAATCTATTTACTTGGCCTTCACAGAGAAATGTTTTCACTGGAGAAACAACATCAGGGTAGAGTTTGCTTGGGGTGGCTTCTATTAATGCAGTCTACTGCCTAGAAATAAGGAGGATGGGGTGGCTCAGTTTGCCAATCAGCACGTTTGGGAAGCATTGGCCTTCTTTTGGATATTCTATACAAAATATTTTAGTAATTCCAGTTTAATCAGGAAAAACACTTCATGCTTAGGTAACACGAGATGAATAATGATGTTGATGGTTACTAAAGCACAAACTGCCCATTTTCAGAGGGGAGATACTCAGCAGCGCATGCAAATCAAGCCCTTTTGACAGTTTCAAGATGGCAAGGCACTAGTTAGCCTTTTGGCTTTCTCCTCTCCCATTTCTGGAAGGGGATGAGAGCCCATGTCTCTTGATTTTGCTTGTTAGTGAAATTGATGCCCGTAGAAGTGGGACCCCCCCTTTACTTTAAACAGCCTGCACTAGCACAGTATGTCTTTTTGTTTCCTCTCTGGTTATCCAGACTGCTAAAAACTTTGCCATCTGCTTTTATCTAGTAGTGATAGTAGTTTAGTGCCCTAATGCCAGGGATAGTGGCGTGTGTTTCTAGATCAGGCAGTTTTTAATGTAATTCCCATTCACAGTGATGCCTCTGTCCTTCCCCTCCAAATTACACCTTACTGCAGGATTTCTCACAGCCCTTATTGGATGTATAACCCTGCGGTGCTTCTGGTTTCCTTATGGTATTTCCACTGCAAGAAGAGCCCACTCCTCTTTCCCAGACCATCCAGACTTAAGCAATTTCTTTTACCCTGATAGCTAAGACCTTCCCATTCTTTTGTATAGCTTAGAAACTTTTCTTTAGACCTTCTCCATAATTTGTACATCTCTACAGAAGCAGGGTGCCCAAAACAAGATGCAGTGCTCCAGGTGGAACCTCACCATAGCCTTGAACAATCAGGTAATAACTTCCCATCGCCTTTTTTTTTCCTAATCCTCCCCTTGTGCAGCCTGCATTGGTCTGCTTTGCTGCAGCTCACCATTGCATCCCCAGCTCCATCTCATCCCCAGCATCTCCCCAAGCCCTCTCCATCATGAGTGTGTGGCAGTTTTTCATCTGTTAAATGAACAGGCTCATTTTAGGACACAAATGCTCATCTCCATTTCACCCGCTGTGTTCTAGACCACTCCCCTGTAGAACTGAAACATCCTTCAGATGTTTCGAGTCACTGAAAGGCGTTGATGATATTTCTGGGTTTGTTATTCACTGCCAAACTGTACCACTGTTCAAGCACAGGCCCACGGTAACCATTTCTGACCACTTTGAAGGGATCTGGTATGATCTGTCCCACACACACCACAAAGGATTCAGGTACATTGCGTTCTGTTCCCAGCTTTGCTTTCGACACACTTTGTGTGGCCTTGGGAAAGACATTTCACTGGCCTCCGCATGTTTTCCAACGGGACGGGGAAGGTCAGGAACATGAGAAATTACCACTATACAGCAGCAGCCGTGTCAGCCCTGGAGTCCTGTAGCAGGAAGGACCAGTGAGACTGTGTTAGCTCGTCTTCACAACACTTTTCTCTAGCACTAATGACATGTGATGGATGGATTATAAATACCTGGCTAGATGAAGCAGTAGAGCATCAGATTTCTTAAATTTTAACCCACAACAAAATAGAAATAGTGAGTTAAGTCACCTACTAATTTATGCCAGTGTGAATCAGGACTGTGCTTGAAGTCAGTGAAGTTACCCTTAAGGAAGGCTAATGCGAAGTTGGCTCCCCAGGCTCCAAAATTTAGTTGGAAGTGACATTAGATGGAAGGGACTGCAATTACCTGGATCAGACATTTTCTAGGTGCAAGAAGTGAGAAGCACTGTCTGGATCCTTGGCCAGATTGCAAATCAAATTTAATGGGTGTACTTACCGGATTGGTTTGGTGTATTGGGATACAACTCAGCTGGGTCTAGTGATTTAGAAAATATTCAAAATTAATTGCTTGGTTTTGTAAGTGCAGTGTTAGTGATTGCTACATAAGTCATTTTAGTCCTACCTAGGGGCATATTTGCATATATTTATCCTCCTTTCAAGTGAAGATCTTTGGGGCAACCGTATTTATCTCCTCCCAACTCTTTCTTCGGCTTTCAGTAGTCCTACAGTCACCTCTTCATTTTGTTTCCATTTAATATATGTATAGAATAATCGA